TGTTCCTCAACTACAAAGAATTAAAAGTCACTAACAAATGGGTGGCAGAGTTTCTAAGAGAAGGAAGACATTTGATAGTACCTTGACAACACTTGATAGTACCTTGACAACACTTTTGTGAAGGAAAGTGGAGCCATAATACAGACTCATGGATTCAATTAACAAAGATATATTGTCTACATGCCCCAGGCATTGAAATATCAGCATCAGGGGCACTGTCACTTGATTCAGAGATAGACAAGGTTAAGGAAATTCAGGGAAAGATCAAGGTGACAAGGGAACTGGGACATGTTGTGGGAAGAGTAAGCTGAAAAGCAATCTTTTTTTTTTTTTTTTGAAAAGCAATCTTTAAAGACAATGTGCTTGGACTTAAATACAGCATGGAAAAGGCCACACTAGGTCAACTTCTTCCCCCTAGTCTTCCTACAATGCCTCTCATAGCGGCCTCATAGGGTAAGGGTAGAACAGCCCCTGTGGGTTCCCGAGGCCATCAATCTTTTCTGAGTCCGAACTGCCTCAATGAACAAGTGGATTTGTTAGTTTTAGTACAATGCCTGACATATGCGTGATGCTAGTAAATTGAACTAGTCAGCAATCAACTAGCTGTGGTCTTCAGGGAAATTAAAGAAAGGTGTCTTGTTTCAGATCAACTCAAGACAGTGACGTCTTGTAGATCTGTTCGTTTTGGCAATGCGGGGAGGAAATCTCACAATAACAGGATGGAAAAATAGAGTGAGAACAAGTCACTTGATGAGAAACACTAAGCCACGTTCCTTGCACCCTCCACCTCCCGTAATCCCGGCTTGGGTCTAGGCCTGGCGAATGATGGGACCCGACTGGGGACACTTGAACGGGGGGTCGGCCACAAACCCTCAATCCGCTCAGCTCCACAAATTTCTCCCCAAACTAGGGCGCCATGCGGTGAGACACGAGTGGTCGCCTACCTTCGTCTGCGTCATACATATTGGCAAGTGGCTCGGAAGCTTCTTAAGCCTTAAAATTACTGAGACAGAAACGCGCGCAGCCAACACCACCGCACAGTAGAGACCGGAAACGAACCAAAGTAACTTCCGTCTCCGGCGTTCCCAGAATACTGCGCGGCTCACGCCGAAGGCCGCCCACAAAGCAGCCGCGTCAGAACTGCGCTTGCGCGGGTGAGAGAGCAAGGGTTAGGTTTACAGATGCGCAAATCGAGAGGCTGCTGCTAGGACAGCTCCTGTTGTGTACGTGTAGCTTGCGAGTCGAGTTCAGCGAGGGCTGAATTTTGATATTTTTACCTGAGTAAAAAAAAATCCAAGAAGTCATTTTTTAAAATAACATTTTATTAACAAAAGGCTTTAGTTGCCGTCGTGTGTTTGTGACACTCGCTTTATTTTCCGCACTTGAGGAGACCAAAAAATCATTCCATTTTAAACGCGTGATTAAAAGCCAGGTGTGACAGCTGTGGCGCTTGAAAGTAAAACTCAAAGTATTCACTAGGCTCATGTGCCGGGTGTCACGATTTAGGGCCCCCGGGCGTCTGCTGTACCTTTAAGGGAGTTCACGTTTCCACAACTCTACTCCTCGCGAGAATTTAACACATTAGACGCGTGGGGAGGAGCCAAAGTGACAACTCCCAGGCAGCCCCGGGCTTTCGACTGCCGCTTGCTGCGCGCCTCGATCACGAGTGCGCGGGCGCACATGTGGCTCCGCCCCTTTGCCGCTGGCCCGCGTTCCCCATGCTGCCCGCGCGCCACGCACGCGGGTTGCTGTCCTTGTTGCGGGCGTCCGCTCCCTCCGTGAGGCGCCATGGCCTCCGAGAGGCTCTGCTGCAGAGCAGATGCGCTGCCGCTTTCTTCCAGCGCCGCCCGGGCCTGGAACGCGGGCTTTCTCACGCCCCAGGGGAGACTGGGGGCTGCGAAGGAAGTGCTCTTCCGGAGGAGCGTTTTGTGTTCCCCGAGTACGTCCCGGAGCCGGAGCCCTGGCCCACCGTCGAAAGCGAGCTGCAGCAGGCACGGCAGCGGCAGGAGGATGAGGAGCGACGGAAGCAGCAACTGCGAGAGAAGCAGAAGCTGCGGGCCAGCCGCCGCGTGCACTCGGTATCGGGACACCCGGACCCGACGGTGCCGCGCAGCGGCGTGAACTGCTCGGGCTGCGGGGCGGAGCTGCACTGCCAGGACCCCGGCGTGCCAGGCTACCTGCCCAGCGAGAAGTTCCGCAGCGCCGCGGCGGAGGCCGACGGCGGGCTGGCGCGAACCGTGTGCCAACGCTGCTGGCTGCTGGTGCACCACCGGCGCGCCCTGCGCGTGCAAGTGAGCCGCGAGGAGTACCAGGAGCTGGTGAGCTCGGCGCTGCGCCGCCCAGGGCCCTCCCTGGTGCTCTACATGGTGGACTTGCTCGACCTGCCCGAAGCCCTGCTACCCGACCTGCCTGCGCTGGTGGGCCGCAAACAACTGATCGTGCTGGGTAACAAGGTGGACCTGCTGCCCCAGGACGCACCAGGCTACCGGCGGCGGATCCGGGAGCGGCTATGGAAGGACTGCCTCCGCGCCGGGCTCCGGCCACTTCCCAGGCATCAGGGACCCTCGGACCCTGACGAAGCTGGCCCCGGGGACGGGAAGGAGACTTTCAGTCGGCCACCTGAGCGGGGCCCTGTACTCAGAGACGTGCGGCTAATAAGCGCCAAGACCGGCTACGGAGTCGAAGAGTTGATCACCGCGCTTCAGCGCTCCTGGCGCTACCGCGGCGACGTCTACCTGGTGGGCGCCACCAACTCCGGCAAGTCTACTCTCTTTAACACGCTCCTGGAATCCGACTACTGCATCGCCAAGGGCGCGGAGGCCATCGACAGGGCCACCATCTCCCCCTGGCCAGGTGATCCATCGGGGGTAGGGGGCCTCTTGGGATTCGAAGAGGTGGACACTTCGCGGTGGCCGCGACCCCGGGCACCTAGTACACTGCTCTGTCACGTCCACCAGAGGGTGCCTGGAGCCTTCCCTTTAAAAATCCCCCACCAACTTTGGTCACACTTTGCCATTTCAAGGTCAGCCTAGAGAAAACGCACTCACTGCCATGGAGGGGACTCCAACTCTGGATGACACAATAGAACAGCCCCTGCCGGTTTCCTGGACTGTAGGTTTTTACGGGAATAGAAAGCCTCATCTTTCTCCCGTGGAGTGGCTCGTGTGTTCGAACTGCTGACCTTCCAGTTAGCAGTCCAGCTTGTAACCCACTAACACCACCACCACCCCCAGGCTTCCATAGCGATACTGAATGGAAACATGTATGCAGCATTTCTAGGTGCCGGTCATTGATCTAGGCAGTGGAGCTACACCAGGGAATAAAGTCAAGTTCCTGCTCACTGGGAACTTTTCTCGAGCTTGTCGGGAAAGTCTTTCATTTGACTGTGAACCTCCACCTGGCTCCAACCCCACTCTCCATCACACTCCTCACATCTAGTCTATTCCTTAAAGGTTTCACATCGGAATAAACTCACTAATGCAGTGTAGTATGAAATGCTGCTTTTGTGGCTTTAAGCCATCTCTAAATGGAAAATGAGCCCTTCACTGGCCGTTAGGGAGCCTTAGTGGTACCGTGGGTGGGGCTGTCAGCTGCTAACCAAAAGGTCAACAGTTCAAATCCACCTCCACACTCCAGAGAAAGATGAGTCTGTTCCCTTCAGAAACCCTACCTACATCGGGTGGCTACGAGTCGGAATCCCCTCCATGGCTCTGGGTGGGTTTGGTTTGGTTTGGTTTTTGGTTAAATCATTTGTGAGTACTAACAGACCTGGTGGTTTCTCTGAAAGTTAAACTCTGGCACTTTTTTTTTTCTTGTGCATGGGGTGAATTACAGAGGAAAGTGCATGGTGAACATGCAGGAAATCACATCCTGTGCCTGTTTTTTCCATTTGTCAAATGGGAATGATTTATAGAGGGTTGTCAGAAGATGGTGAGATTAATCAGCACCCAACACCGTGTAGCTTCTCAAAAACTTTAGTAGCCCCCTGGGCCCCTTTCTGGTTGGTTGGCTGGTTTTTGTATAGTGTCTATAAAGATATAATTAGTTTCTTTGGTATTTCAGGTACTACATTAAACCTTCTGAAGTTTCCTATTTGCAACCCAACTCCCTATAGAATGTTTAAAAGGCACAAGAGACTTAAAAATGATGCCAGGATTGCTGAAGAAGATCTTCCTGAGCAAGAACAAACTGAACTTACCCTACTGAAAAAGCATGGTTATGTAGTCGGTAAGTTTCTTTCATAGGAAACGTGTTGGTTCTATGCTGCAGTTCTTGGTGAGTAACCTGAAACACAGCTACGTGGGGCTAGCCAGTTTGTGTGGCCAGCAGAGGGTCCCTGCAGAGGCAAGGCTACATTTGGAAACCTACAGGTCAGTATGCTGGGAATCTGAGACCATGGGGACTTGGAGGCATCTAGAAAAGAAAGCATGTGGCAGCAGCCCCCCTAGCCATGATCGGCAGTAGAAGCGTTTCCTCAGTGTACACCCCATCCCTTCAGACCATTCCAGGCGATGATGTTGGTGACTCCCAAGTAGCCGCTCTTTTTGCATCCCTTATCCTTCCCCTGATAGCTCTTTCCAGCCCTCTGTATCGAACACTTTGGATTCCAGCCCTAGCCCCGCACTTAGCCAGTCACACACTTGATCCTTGCAATAATCTAGCTCCCACTACTTTGTGAGGGGTCGGGGAGAATCAGACATAGCCTCATCTACATATACACAGCCTCGAGAACAGAACTGCGCTTGATGATTTCCAACGCTCACCTTTCTCCCAGGGAGCGGCTGCTTGTTTCGAAAGCATGATCCAGTGTGCCACCAGGGCTCCTCTGTGAGTCAGAATTGACTTGATGACAGTGAGTTTGGTTTTGGGGTATACAGTAACTTTCTTGAGGCAAACAGCCGCAATGCCAGCTACCCCTCCCCCAGAAGAAAGCACTACAAAGGACAGCAGTGAGGCTACAGCTCAGGGAGAGGAGCGGGTCTGCTCAGAACATGGGAGAAAACTAGGGGGAGAAAGTCCTAGCCCACCAAGCCCCGGGGACAGTATTCCTGCTCGGAGCAGCCAATGCACAGAGAGGACTGTAGGACCGGCCCCACAATGAAACGCAGTGTCCCCTGACTGATCCATAGTGGTATGGGGACAACACTAGGGACATAGTGCGGGAATTGTACTCGGTCTGCCACACACATACTCAGGGCGAAACAGTACAACACAGGAGTAAGGGAAGTAAAGCAATGAAGTCCCCAAGGAATCCCAAAAATAGTCTTCCAGGGCAGTGTGCTTGGCACCTCATCAGACTCATTGGAAAACATTCATAGAGGTCAGCAAACAGACCCGGAACTATTTATAGGCTTTTTCTTTTCATGTCTATCTATATAAGATAGGCAGGATAAACAATCCCAAGGAGAAAACAATGGGACCAACAGTTACAGGGGGGGAGGGGGGGGCGGGGTTTGGCCAGGCCAACACCCAGGGACAAATCGAGGATAAATAATAAATAGGACATAGAATGGCTGAACACTTTGTTGTAATAACCTGGCATTCTGTGATGCTCACCTTCCCTACACGATCACTGGAGACAAAATGGGTACATAAGCAAATGTAGTGAAAAAAGCTATATTAAAAGATAAAGTGAGGTCTTAAAGGCTTGAAAATTAACAAGCTGCCATCTAGGTGGGAAGCACACCAGCCTGTGTGAACATGAGGTGTTGACAGGATCAGGTAACTGGCATCAGAAGACCCAAAACAAACAGCCATTTCGATGTGAATGAGGGGGGTCGGAATGGAAACCCAAAACCCATCTGTAGATCATTGTACATCCCCTCACAGAGGGTCTCAGAGAAAGGAAAAGCCAGCCAGGGTGCAGTATAGCACCAGTGAAATATACAACATTCCTCTGGTTCGTGTTTCCTACCCATCACACTATGATGATTCCAGTTCTACCTTAAAAATCTTGCTATACCAGAGCATGTACACTGGTACAGATAAGAGCTCTCAACACAGAATCTGGGACAGATAAACGCCATAGGAACAATAATGGGAGTAAACATACCATGAGGGCAGGGGGAAGGTGTGGGGGAGAAAAGGGGAATGGACTACAATGATCGACATATAACTACCACCCCACCCAGGGTGACAAACAACAAACATGGTGAAAGACGGCAGACAGTGTAAGATGTGAAAATAATTTATCAAGGGTTAGTAAGGGTGGGAGGGAGGGGAAAAATGAGCTGATACCAAGGGCTCAAGTAAAAAAATGTTTTGAAATGGATGATGGCAATATATGTACAAATGTGCTTGACAATGCATGTATGGATTGTTATAAGAGGTGTAGAGCTCCCAATAAAAAGATTTTTCTAAAAAAAACTGCCCCATTAAAAAGTGAGCTGATAACAAGGGCTCAAGTAGAAAGAAAATGCTTTGAAAATGATGGCAGCATATGTACAAATGTGCTTGACACAATGGATGGATGAATGGATTGTGCTAAGAGATGCAAGAGCCCCCAATAAAAGTTTTTAATTAAAAAAAACAAAAACCTGTCCCATCTGGAGTCAAAAGCTGTAAAGGAATGTTAACAATGTGACTATAATTTATTCTAGGAAGAGTTGGGAGGACCTTCCTACGTTCAGAAAAGCAGAAGGATGAAGCTGCCTTTGAGTTTGATGCAGATTCACTTGCCTTTGACATGGAAAATGAGCCTGTTCTGGTGTTAGGCACAGACACCAAACGTGAGGCATTGACCCCCGAAGAAGTGGAAAATGCCCACTGGTTTTATGACACCCCTGGAATTGTGAAGGAAAACTGTGTACGTATCTGGTTTCTTTTGTAAAACACTCATAGCAAATACTGTCTTTAATTGGCAGGAAACAGGAAAGAAGGTCTGTGTTCTTTTGACTCATGGCTAATGGCAGTTCAGGGATGACTTAGTTCTGTATTCCACTTCCTTAGTAGCCAATGGCAGCCTCTGTGTATTATCACTTAGGGGTGTTACCTTAGGGAGATAATGCTGATTATTAGACATTTGGGGTTGTAAGAAACCTTAAGCATTACTGCAGTCCAACTACCCATTCATGTTAGGATTCTATAAAAGATCCACCAAGAGGTCATCCAACTTGAACCTAATTAAGGCGAGACTTCCCCTCCCATCAGCTGAAGCAGCATCACGTCCCCTCCGGAGGTGACGCAATTGGTCTCTAAGTTTGGGTTAAACTGAGCAGTCCCTCTGTCACTGGCACCTGTTGTTTCTCATAGCTGTGCGGAAGCAATGTAATAATCATTTCCTTGGCTAGACCCTGTCCATCTCTTCCTCACCCTCTCCATTTGCTCTTCCACCCAGACACTGCTGACCACTTAACAGGGCTGACCCACGGCCCAGATTCCTTGTCTCCACCTGAGAGCTGGGATCCAGGATAGCCATCATCCCAGAATGCTCAGCTACTTTGTCCCTAAAGTGTGACACTAAGATTGAGTTTCTTCCGTAAAGGCCCTCAGACAAGTATCATTTAGAATAGGATTAAGTGCATCTGTTTTGCTCTTGTTTACCTTTTTGATCTACATGCAGAATCAAACAGTTTTGATTTTCACCTTGTTAAGATCAATTGCTCCTACTCTCACATACTCATTGAATCACATTACTTTTTATTCTTGCTGTTTTCTTTGTCAAATTCTTCACTGAGGCTTGTCTGCCTCAAGGACACAGCCCTGCAACACACAGCCCATTAGCCTGTGCCTTTGAATCTGGCCCCCGGCTGTTTCTGAATCTGGCCCCGGCTGTTTCTGACTCATCTAATGATCCCCAAGGGGAGAAACAGACAGCGGTGGTTTCTTGGGTACTTTTCCTTCCTTAATCTTCTTGGGATCACTTAGAATTTCATTCTCAGAATTCTCTCCTAGCTTGTCACACAGTCATGGTGGGTCAGCTCATTCGTCTCACCCTCCCAGAATATTTGTCAGGTGGTCTAGGTGGCACAGATAGTTACACAGCTCAGTAGCAGTCAGTACTTGCCAGAAGGTTGGCTATTTAAACCCACCCAAATGCACCGTGTAAGAAAACGAGCCTAGCAATCCGCCTCCGGAAGGTCACAGCCTTGAGAGCCCGCTCCACAGAGCAGTTCTGTTCTGCACTCACACAGTCGCCCCGGGACAGCTGCCCAGCCTGTCTGCCCGGAACTAAGCTGTTGGTGCTGAAGACGTTTTACATCTACAAACTGGAGACCCTCTCATTCTGCTGAAGATCTCAAAAAATATTTGGCAAATTCTTACGTTTCTGATTTCTTTCACAAAATGTTACTGATGTAACTTCGATCTCCGACCTAATTGGATCTGAAAGGGAAGGGAATAATCAAGTTGATGAATGTAAGGAGTGAGACCTTAATTAGCAAGCAGTCCAGTTACACTAAGGTGGAAAGACTGGGCACAGTCTCGGTCCTTCCACGACTTACACCTGAGGAAGGGCAAGGTAATTTAAGGCGGGGACTTTCCAGAGTGATCAGCAAAGTCTCCCTTCCCATGTCAAAAGCATGTGAAAACCCTGCTGCTTTACTGCAAGTCAGAAAAAAGGCTGCTCTTCTTGACCCTCCTAAGGAGCAGTAGTTTCTGGCCTGAGGTTAAGAGAATATGCTCCCTCGGGTCCCAGGGGCTACTATGCGAGCATGTAATACAAAATGCTCATCACTGCAAGGCTCTGGTAACAAGCTGGCAAGGTCTCTTTCTGGATTCTAGGTGCCTTCAAATATTCAGCAAAGAAATGAAAAAGTTTTGAACCCTTGGCTTTAAGTGTGAAGAGTTTCCACACAGCCCCAGGGCAAAGGAAACTCAGCAAGTGTATGATCCTGCAAGATTTAAGGAATTGAAATCTAGTTATAAAACATGATTAGAGAAGGTTAAAAATTTGGATAAAGGAGCCTTTTTGGTCCTTTTTATCTGAGGTCCTAAAACTTGCATTTCACAAGAAATTTCTTGGGTGAGCACCGAGAGGAAGTGCAGCCATCAGTAACCTGAGATCCATTTTGACAAGAAATCATACATAGATTTTATGTAGAACAGATTCTGACGCTTGGTTTAGTGTTTATTGTTTAAGACCAGGAATATTAACTTTTCACAGTCATAAATAAACCATAGTACATTGTATCTTTATTAAAAGTGATCCTCTAAAATTCTGGTATTTGCTTCACAGATTTTAAATCTTCTGACAGAAGAAGAAGTAAATGCTGTTTTGCCAACAAAAGCTATTGTTCCAAGAACTTTCCTGCTTAAACCAGGATTCGTTCTGTTTTTGGGTGCCATAGCCCGCATAGATTTCCTGCAGGTAAGGAACATAAAGAGACTAAATAGTGGACTCACAAGCATTCCAGGGGAAGAGTCCAGGAATATCTTCTGTGAGCCGCACTCACTGCCACTGAGCCTTAGAGGCCCTGTGAGTTGGAATCGCCTTGATAGCAGTGACTTATGCCCAAGTAAGCCAGAGTTTCCAATGCAGCCCTGCAGGACAGGTAGAACTGCCTGTGAGTTTCCAATACTGTGATTCTGCATGGGAGTAAAAAGCCCTGTCTTTCTCCCTCAGACCAAATGGTAGTTTCAAACTGCCAGCCTTGCAGTTAACAGCCCAATGCATAACCACTATGCCACCAGGGCTCCATATTAATGTGACAAGAACAGCAAAATATTGATAATTAGATGATAGCTAGGTGGGATTTGATATACTTTTCTTGTTTTCTTTTTCAAAATGTTGCAAATTTTCCATTTAAAACACACAGATTTTCCTGTCAGCAAACGTAGAAGGAAAACACAAGTGCCTTCTCCCACCCCACACCAAGGGAGTAGGCCTTTAAAACTGTATCTTCAGTGGGATGTTGAGTGCCCAAGAGCTTGGTATTTAAGACAGGATAATAGCGTCCCTTCCCTGTGGTGGTGGCTCATGTGGAAATCCTAGGTCAAATAAGTAAATACAAGGTAGGTGTACATATTAGTAAGTTCTAGACCTTTCTGCATCATGGTATGCATTAAACAGGTTTGTTTTTGTGTTTGGCATTTACAGAGTGTTGCCAGGGATATAGGAGCTCTGGGGAATTTTTCCCTGTTTTACCACAGTGGTGAGGGAAAAGGAAATGAAAAATGGGTGTGTCTAGCAATACTAAATGCAGCTTACAGGCCATTGCAATAGCGCATCTCTAGGATTGTATATTCATACGTCACTGAAAGTCTTGAACCCTTATAGTCACTAAAGCTTACAGAAGACCCAGTGCCACACAGCTGAAGAGAACAGTATTTTCTCATGGTTTCTCATAGTAGAAGTACTGTGCTGCGGTTTTCTAAAACAACGTAAGCAAAACTGTGGAAGCAGTTGTCGTTTTCCAGCATTTGCGGAAATACACCGTCTCCATAAAGTGCCTTTTTCAGCTCTGGTTTTGGTCATAGGTTGTAACGCTAATATGCAGGTTTGGCATGATTTTATTATTTCTTTCTCGAGGGAAATCGGTCGGCTTGGTTTACAGTTGTGGCTTCCAGCTTCCTTCGTGTGCACATCACTTCCCTGGACAGGGCAGATGCTGTGTATCAGAAGCATGCCGGTCATTCCTTACTGCAGGTAAGGTGGCCCACCAGGGTGCTGCGGTAGAGCTGAAGGGTCGGTGTGAGTTGGCATCAGCTGGCTCAGTGGCATTGGGTTTGGTTTTCTGGTTGGCTGGGTTCTTTTCCTGTGGTGGTGCTTCAGTCAGCAGGTATCGTGATTATCCCACGGTCCCACACGGATCTTGCGGACAGAGCGGTCTTTGGGCTATGACAGCCCGTTCCTCTCTCACCTGTAAAAGGAAGTGGGCTTTATAAAGAAAGAGGAATTGATTTGCCCTGGTCGTAGACTAGCTACAGAACTCTGCCTTCTAGACTGTACTGCCCCAAACAGTAGCCCTTAACAGCTGGCTTTTCACATTCAAATACATCAGTTAAAATTAAATTGTTGTAACTTTATTTTAAACTTTTTATTGTGATTCGGGTGAAAGTTGACAAAGCAAATTGAATTTTCATTAAACAAGTCATAAGCAGCATTTTGCTTTATGACATTAATTGATTGCCAGTGCCCACAATGTAACAGTACTCTTCGGACTTCCTCTGCTTGCCGTTTATATTCGCCCTTCTTTCCTGTCCTCTCCTGCCCCTAGGCTTTCTCCCCGGGCAGACGCTGCCCTTTTACTCTCCTGTGGTTAATTGTTCAAGGAATGCGCACCTCCTGGGTGTTCCTGTTCACCCTAAAGGCCTGTCTTTCATTTGGCTGGAAATTGAGCCCCTGGGATGAGTTCAGTTCCAGATACGCAGTGTGTCTTAAGTCTGGGGAGTAAAATTCAGCTCCTTAACCACACTGGCCACATTTCAATCAAGCCATCCCTGTGGAAAGTTCCACTGGACAGTGCTGCTGCGGTGGGGTCTTGTGAAGATCGGTGGCATCGAGTGTGGGTACAGGCCAGAGCTGCTGCTGAGTGTCCTACCGTGCACACTGACAGCAGCTGCCGCACAAGCCGTTTGACCCAAGATGAGAAAACCTGGCTCTTTCTAAAGTACCGCCAGTCACATTGTTCGTTTTGACCTTTTCTCTCTCCTACTTGTAATTCTTTGGGAGTTCTGCATCCCTCAGGGAAGTCTAAGCTCCAGTTCCTGAGCTCATCATCCCTTGTCCACATTGGAGTCTGTGGATGTGCCTACCCCTCGGCCCGGAGTAACGTCCACCCATTACCCCATACTGCCCAGATAGGACCACTTCACTTCTCAACTCAGGAGGGGCTCATTACTCCCTCCACCACACACACCACAGTTAATGAACACGGGCGACTACATTATCACACCCAGTTCTTTCTCATTCCTAGAAATACCTGTACACGTGGAGTCCTCCCCTGTACTTGTACCATTGACTTCTCCTGAGGTGGAAACTCATCTTCGTGGAAGGACATTGTCTTAAATGCCCCACACTACTCTTGGTCATAAAATCCTATAGAGGGCTATAAAAACTGTAAACTAGTCAATGTGTTTCTGCTCTCAAATGGGGAGTTACCTCCCTAGGCCTGCCCACCTGTGGACCTTGGCCCTGGGACCTGTAGTTTTCATCGCAGGTGCTGAGTTCCCATGCTGTACCCTTGACCCTGGAAGTAACTGGGGATTTTTTTTTTCTTTTTTTAAATAAATCATTTTATTGGGAGCTCTTACAACCTCTGATAACAATCCATACATACATCCATTGTATCAAGCACATTTGTACATTTGTTGCCATCATCTTTTAATATTAGCATTAACAAAGGAGTTTTCTTTGAACTTCAAGCATCTCCATTTTATTTCATTGGAAGGTCCCAATGGGTGGGGAAGAGCGGATGGCAGCATTTCCTCCTCTTGTTGCTGAAGACATTATGCTAGAAGGACAATCGGACTCTGAAGCAGTGGCTGACATCAAGTTTTCCTCCGCCGGTAAGTTTGCAGCAGACCAGGTTTTAAAGTTGAACGAAGTAGCCTTAGCGATTTAGACCATGGAGCTTCAAAAAGTCTGTGGGGAAATTCTATCTTCTTTTTATTCCATCTCGGTGAACAATCTGAAGCCCCGTAGTGTAATTTGATAGAAATGTATGGGGTTTTTTGTTTTGGGTTTTTTATTTTAGTTATTCATTTTCAAGCATTTTATTGGGGGTTCGTACAACTTTTATCACAATCCATACATACAGCCATTATATCAAGCACATTTGTACATTTGTTGACATCATCATTCTCAAAACATTTTCTTTCTACTTGAGCCTTCGATATCAGCTCCTCATTTTTCCCCTCCCCTACTCTCCTTCACGAACCCTTGATAATTTATAAATTATTATTATTTTGTCATGTCTTACACTGTCCGACATCTCCCTTCTCCCACTTTTCTGTTCTCGGTCCCTCAGGGAGGAGGTTATATGTAGCTCCTTGTGATCGGTTCCCCTTTCTACCCCACCCTCCCCTTACCCTCCTGGTATCACTACTCTCGTTACTGGTCCTGAGGGGGAAATGTATGATATCCACTGAGTATTTTAAGGACTACATAGGAGTATATTCAAAAAAAAAAAAAAGGAGTATATTCATAGAATGCAGGCTGTGTTAAAAATAAATTTGTGATAGGTAAATCTGTAGGGATAGTAAGTGGATGAATGGTGTGGCAGAGGAGGTTGAGGGGAAGTGGGGAGCTCATATGGAGTACAAGAACGAAGAAAAGGTTCTAAAACTGATTGTGGTGATGGGTGTACAACTCTCCTTGATGTGATTGGACTATTGTATGATATGTGAATTAATGCCGGTCAAACTTGAAATGATAATAAATCTGCCTGCTCCGATGTAATCTTAAAAAGAGATTGCGTGAGAGAGCACTGGGCCTCCTTTGCGCCCCATCTAGAGCTTCAGTTGGGGTTTTTAATCCACTGCTTGCTCACCCCACTTTATGTTCTCTTGCGTGCCGGCGTAGGTTGGGTCGCAGTGACACCTTGCTCTGGTGAGAGACTGCATCTCCGAGGCCACACTCCCCAAGGAACGGCTCTGACGGTGCGACCCCCCCTCTTGCCACACATCGTGAACATCAAAGGGAAGCGCATCAGGAAAAGCATGGCGTACAAAACCAAGAAGCCGCCCGCCCTGGTGTGCAATGTGAAGAAGAAAAAACAGAAGGGTGCATGAGGCTGACGTTCTCATGCCGAGCACCGGCCGATACTGAGCGTACGAAACGGTCCCTGTTGGATTGCATTCATTGTAGCCATAATAAAGCCCCCCTCCCAGTGGTTTTGAGAGAACTTAACAGATGGCCTCTTTAAACTTCTCAGACGGTGTCTATTTGTAACATATTGAGCTTATAGATAGACCTTTTTTGTAGTGTGCGTGTCCCTAATTAGAAAACAAGTGGCCTGCTCTATTTCTCTCTACTTTTTTTTTTCTTTTTTTTTTTTTTTTTGAGACCAGTTGTAGATTTTTCCTCTTTGGAGTCTCCAGTTGGGAGGGTAGTTTAGCAGTTGACATTTGAGGGCGGTGGGATGGCCAAAAAGCAACTTCGTCAAACGACATGAGCTGAAATACAGTGAGTCGGGCCGTGTCCTACGTGTTCCACGTCGCCATCCAGAGGCCGCACTGGGGGAGCACTCGTGGCCCCATCAGCTAAGGCAAGGGCGGTTGCTCAACCTGCTGTCCCAGCACGTGGGGTCGGCGGAAAACAAACACCTTCTGTTTTAAAGAAGGAGCATAAAAGGGGAGGAAGGGTGCCAATTCACAACGTTCATTGACCAATGGTGAATAGCCACGTGGCCACATCCAGCCACAAGGTTATTGGGCAATGTAGAAAAAAGGGGAACCTCTGGGTTTTACTAAAACAAAGGGGAGAGTGATGTTGGAAAACAATTCGAAAACCAAGAGGGCAAGAAAGAAGGAAATGAATTGGAAATAATGGTGGCAATAATTGCACAATCATGTTTGATTTAACTGAACTATGGATTGTTGAGCTCCCAATAAAACGGGGGAAAAAGAAAACCCAAGTTAGCTGGTGCTGCTTTAGCAGAAACACCACAAGGAGGTGGTGCTCTTTCAAACGGGCTTATTGTACCTGCCCTGGAAGCTGGGATTCAAAGGTCACGTGCCTACCCTAGCCGAAGGCTTTCCCCATTCAGCACCAGCTGCTTGTCTCCTTTCAGTATCTGGGCCCATCCGTGATACCCACCTTATCTTAAAATTTCTTAAAAAGCTTCCATAAAAGAGAGTTCGCGTTCTATCTTTCCTGCAATTGTGAAAGCTCTTTAACCTTTATATTGCCATTGCCTGTTAGACTTTATAAAGTGCCCTCGTGATGCAGCGGGTTAGGAGTTGAGCTGCTCCTGCAGGTGAGCCTTTTGAACCCAGCAGCTGCTCTATGGCAGAAAAAAAAAATGCTTTCTACTCCCACAAAGGTTTACAGTCTCGCAAAGCCACGGGGCAGCTCCCCGTTGTGTTTAAGGGTCACTATGAATTGGAATCGACTCGATGGCAATTGAGTTAGGTTTGGGTTTGGTTCCATCTCAGTTAACATTTACTATAAACCTGCGAATCAGCAGTAAGTTCAAGTCCTGAATACGAATGAAAATAAATGCACTCATCTATGAACTACCTGTGACGTTCAGGTTCGGCCCAAGGTTATCCTCTGCCAACTTTTAGGTGATCCCGTGGGAAACCACAAGGGGGCTTCGTAAAGCTTGTGGAAGTACTCCATTATCCTTGAGCTCTGTCGTCCCCCCCCCCCTATATTTCACACTTTCCTGCCTTCTAACACTGTTCTTGATGACTTAGAATAAAGGTAAACATTTTTGAAATGCAGCATGTCATAACTAGATAACAGTGCTAAGCCTTTCAGAGTGGGTACTACAGGTATTTTGGGAATAATTATTTTGTCTATAAAACGGGGACCCCTGGGACCCAGCAACTGCCTCTCCCCCCCCCCACTCCATTCATCTCACTGCTCTGGAGTCCGTCTGACTCGTATCAACCCCATAGGACAGACTAGGACTGCCCCTGTGGGTTTCCCAGACTAGCCCCATCTTCCCCCCCCAGGAGTGGCCAGTGGTTTGGGGCGGCTGACCTTGTGATGTGCAGTCCAACTTGTACCCCACTACCCAACTTAGGACGCAAACAATACACTCAACATTTCCAATTGTAGCTCTGGAGGGTGGTAGAAACGCCCTCTTTCATATTGAAGCAACAGGAAGTTGTTTCTAGTGATTTTGTGCAGAATGAAACAGCACTAAGTTTACAAGTAGAAGGTGTGGCGTTCTATTGTCTGCTAGGGACGAGTTCATTCGAAGAGAATGGGAGTCTGAGAGGCTGCAGACAAAGCCGCTGACTTTTGCATCCTGAACACTGACACTGTCCGTACCTTGACAATTTAGGAGGAGATATTTTAAAAGGCAGACCATTCCCTCTGCTTCTCTTCTCTCCAGGCGTTGAAGCCTCCTGACTGGCAAGGATTCCGTTTTTAAATGTTCAGATTTCACCTTCTTGGCTGTTTTTCACCACGAAATTGCAACTGTGTGTGTGTTTCATAAAGTTTGGTTCAAACTTCCCTAAAACTGCCCCATGGCACCCTTCTAGGAGTTTCGAATGGTTCTGCTTAAAAATTTCCATTTCCTCGGTTCTGTAAATCTCTTTGGATCTTGGTCTTCTCGTCTGAGAAATAGGGAGCTACACTATTTCATGCTGAAGGATTTCCTGTTCTATTCTTTTATGACGCTCACTAAAGCAGGCAGGAGAGAGACCTCGAGAAGGGTGTTTACAACGACTCAGAGACATTCTGTGCCTAGACAGAGTTAAGACCTCTGCTATACACTATCTGCTGTAACTTCATGTTCTTCCAAACCAGTGGTTCTCAACCTTCCTAATGCATGTTGTGGTGACCCCCAACCATAACATTAATTTTGTTGCTACTTCATAACTAATTTTGCTACTGTTAAGAATCGGGTAGACCCCTGTGAAAGGGTCATTTGACCCCCAAAGGGGTCGCGACCCACAGGTTGAGAACTGCTGTTCCAAACAAATGGCAGCCCCAGGTTACTGCCTCCTAGCCCGGTGCCCAGTAGCGTTTCAGAAAGCGCTGTTGTTTTGGTTTCTGAGCAGTTTGTTGATACCAGTTTATTGATCCACTTATCTGAGTGTGGAGCCCTCCGTTGAATCAGTATTCACACTGAGATCAAGTACAGGACTTAGTGCGCCCTCTAGTGACAACACGGCAGGACTCCCCCATCACGTCTACAGAACCTAGAGGTTTTGGGAAACTAAGGACGTTAGATTGAGCTCTGAAAGGTCAGCAGTTCAAAACCACCAGCTGCACTCAGGAGATAGGAGTTGAAGGTGCAGAAACTTGCAGGGGCAGCTCTAGTGTGCTCTCACAGAGTCCCTGTGAGTAGGAACGACCCAATGGCAGTGAGTTTGTTTTTAGTGGGTTCAACTACAAAACTAAACTTCCTGAGACTGACTCTTCACGGAATTAGAAAGCTCTTTCTCCCGAGGAGAGGCTAATGGTTTCAAACTGCTGACCATATGGCGAACAGTCCAACTCTTAACCACACCACCAGGGCGAAGCAAGTCGGTACTAGACTGTGTACTAGGCTATGCAGCCTTGTGGTGGTAAGCATGTCACTTCTGTATTCCAAACCCCCAAAGGCAGCAAAGCAGGTACCATCGAAGGGCTTTGACTCCTTTATGTAACATGGGGCTGGAAGGGCCTTGGGTTTTGGTTTTGGTTTTAAGTTACACTTAGCAGTAGCCTCCCCTTTCCCACCTCCTTCAGATTTATGAGACACTGAAGCTGTATGTTCCAGCTCCGTGCATGGCAGCCTTTCCTGTGGGTGCCCCAGTGGCTCACTTTGTCGCCCTTGCCTGCGACACTCACTTCCCGTGCCAGCAGACAAGTAAGTGGACTACAGAGGAAAACCTGAATGCGTCACTCGGACACTTCCTGCACAGTGGAGACCAAGCCTCGTGTCTGCAGATGTCTCAGGGATCCCCAAGTGGCAGCCACACAGAGCCATGACCGCTTCTCGCCAGCAGGGCTTCTGATCACTGACCCTCAGGACCCCAGCCCCACCCCCACTCCGCTCCACGCAGCAGTTGAATCATTTCCATCCTTTCTCGCACTGTTCTGCTTGCCTCCTCCCTGGAGTGGGGGTGAGGCACCGGGGTGTGTGTGACTGTTTCCTTTCTGTTGTCAAAGAGTAATGCTTAAAATGAAACACATCGAGCCCAATAGACAGCACCTCTGCCTGCCCTTAAAGTCTCTCCGCAGGGGCCCGGAAATGGCTGCATTCAAGAACGTCCTGTCCCAGAGGAATGAAGCCTCACCTTCTCTGTACAAGTCAAAGAGCTGCTTTATTCTCTTCCAACTAATAGCTACCGCGTTTTCCGGACGTGACTACTCCTAAGAAAAGCGCCACACTTCAAACTCAGCTGCTTATTCGATGCCACTCAGAGCAACCGGAGAGGACAGGGGAGAACTGCCCCTGTGCGTTTCTGAGACTCTAACTGTTTACCGGGACGGGAAAGCAGCCCTGTCCTTCTCTCACAGAGCGGCTGGTGGTTTTGAGGTGGTGACCTTGCAGATGGCAGCCAACACGTAACCCTGAAACCACCAGGGTTCCCTAAGAATAGCTACACTGAAGGCTTGAAGGTAAATAAGCAGCCATCTAGCTCAGAAGCAACAAAGCCCACATGGAAGAAGCACACCAGCCTGTGCGATCACGAGGTGTCGAAGGATCAGGTATCAGGCATCATCAGAACAAAAATCATATCATTGTGAATGAGGGGGAGGGAGTGCAGAGTGGAGACCCAAAGCCCATCTGTAGGCAATTGGACATCCTCTTATGGAAGGGCCTCAGGGAGGAGATGAGCCAGTCAGTGTACAGTGCAGCAACAATGAAACACAACTTTCCTCTAGTTCCTTAATGCTTCCTCCTCTCTCCCCCCCCTCCCACTATCATGATCCCAATTCTACCCTACAAGTCTGGCTGGACCAGAGGATGTACACTGGTACAGATAGGAACTGGAAACACAGGCAATCCAGGGCAGATGATCCTTTCTTTTTTTTTTTCAGATGATCCTTTCAAGACCAGTGGTGTGAGTGGCGATAACAGGAGGGTGGAGCGAAGGTGGGGTGGGAAGGGGGAACCGATTACAAGGATCTACATGTGACCTCCTCCCTAGGGGACGGACAACAGAAAAGTGGATGAAGGGAGACGTCGGACGGTGCAAGATATGACAAAATAATTTGTAAATTATCAAGGGTTCATG